AAACAATAGAAAAATAAATTAATTAATATTCAATTATTATCTAATATTCAATCACTCATATTTAATTATTTTTTTAAGTTCATTCACATCAATAATATCATCAAATATTATCTCTACAGATCTTACAGTAACAAATAAATTTACTGGCAATGTGTTTCTTTTCAATAATACCATCAAATATTATCTCTACAGACCTTACTGTAACAAATAAATTTACTGGCAATGTGTTTCTTTTTCAAAAATATCATCAAATATTATCTCTACAGACCTTACTGTAACAAATAAATTTACTGGCAATGTGTTTCTTTTCAATAATATCATCAAATATTATCTCTACAGACCTTACTGTAACAAATAAATTTACTGGCAATGTGTTTCTTTTCAATAATATCATCAAATATTATCTCTACAGACCTTACTGTAACAAATAAATTTACTGGAAATGTGTTTCTTTTCAATAATATCATCAAATATTATCTCTACAGATCTTACAGTAACAAATAAATTTACTGGCAATGTGTTTCTTTTCAATAATATCATCAAATATTATCTCTACAGACCTTACTGTGACAAATATATTTACTGGCAATGTGTTTCTTTTCAATAATATCATCAAATATTATCTCTACAGACCTTACTGTGACAAATATATTTACTGGCAATGTGTTTCTTTTCAATAATATCATCAAATATTATCTCTGCAGACCTTACTGTAACAAATATATTTACTGGCAATGTGTTTCTTTTCAATAATATCATCAAATATTATCTCTACAGACCTTACTGTAACAAATATATTTACTGGCAATGTGTTTCTTTTCAATAATATCATCAAATATTATCTCTACAGACCTTACTGTGACAAAGTTATTTACTGGCAATGTGTTTCTTCTTCACTAATATCATCAAATATTATCTCTACAGACCTTTACTCCAATTAAGAGATAATATTTAATGGTATTATTGAAAGGAAACACATTGATAATAAATTTATTTGTTTCAGTAAGGTCTGTAGAGATAATATTTGATGATATTATTGAAAAGAAACGCATTGCCAGTAAATATATTTGTTACAGTAAGGTCTGTAGAGATAATATTTGATGATATTATTGAAAAGAAACACATTGCCAGTGAATTCATTTGTTACAAATTTTCTTAATCCAGTGTGTCCTATGATGAATCATTCATAAAAAACATTGTAACATATAATTAAGAAAAGAAAACTTCAGAATGACAAAGCAATTTATTTAGGGAAAGAACAAATAAATAATGTAGCAAAGTATTTATTATATTTCATATACAGATTATGAATTTTGATATTTATATTATTTTAATTCTACTACTCTGTGTGTAAATATCACTCATTGCTTATCATGTATCTTATAAATGTTGAACAGACCTTACCTGTATCCACTGTTCAGAAGAGCCACAGACAGTTGATCATCTTCTCTTCAGCTGTCCAGCATTCCTGAGACATAGGATACAAACAGCTGCTTGGACTGACCCACCTCAATCCTACATCTATGGCCACCAGACTCAGCATTCCTGGTCAACTGGTTCAACTCAGCAATCAAAACACGAGTAAAAGTACTCAACACTAGTCCATACTGGTGACTCCCCGGGTAGTTGGCGTTCTGTGCTCCCTGGGTTATAAATATCTCTCTCTCTCTCTAGCTGTACAACCTCAGCATGGAACTTCCTGGTCAACTGGTTCAACTCAGCAATCAAAACACGAGTAAGTACTCAACATTATCCATACTGGTGACTCCCCGGGTAGTTGGTGTTCTGTGCTCCCTGGGTTATAAATATCTCTCTCTCTAGCTGTACAACCTCAGCATGGAACTTCCTGGTCAACTGGTTCAACTCAGCAATCAAAACACGAGTAAAGGTACTCAACACTAGTCCATACTGGTGACTCCCCGGGTAGTTGGTGTTCTGTGCTCCCTGGGTTATAAATATCTCTCTTTCTAGCTGTACAACCTCAGCATGGAACTTCCTGGTCAACTGGTTCAACTCAGCAATCAAAACACGAGTAAAAGTACTCAACACCAGTCCATACTGGTGACTCCCCGGGTAGTTGGTGTTCTGTGCTCCCTGGGTTATAAATATCTCTCTCTCTATCTGTACAACCTCAGCATTCCTGGTCAACTGGTTCAACTCAGCAATCAAAACACGAGTAAAAGTACTCAACACCAGTCCATACTGGTGACTCCCCGGGTAGTTGGTGTTCTGTGCTCCCTGGGTTATAAATATCTCTCTCTCTATCTGTACAACCTCAGCATTCCTGGTCAACTGGTTCAACTCAGCAATCAAAACACGAGTAAAAGTACTCAACATTATCCATACTGGTGACTCCCCGGGTAGTTGGTGTTCTGTGCTCCCTGGGTTATAAATATCTCTCTCTCTAGCTGTATAACCTCAGCATGGAACTTCCTGGTCAACTGGTTCAACTCAGCAATCAAAACACGAGTAAAAGTACTCAACACTAGTCCATACTGGTGACTCCCCGGGTAGTTGGTGTTCTGTGCTCCCTGGGTTATAAATATCTCTCTTTCTAGCTGTACAACCTCAGCATGGAACTTCCTGGTCAACTGGTTCAACTCAGCAATCAAAACACGAGTAAAAGTACTCAACACCAGTCCATACTGGTGACTCCCCGGGTAGTTGGTGTTCTGTGCTCCCTGGGTTATAAATATCTCTCTCTCTATCTGTACAACCTCAGCATTCCTGGTCAACTGGTTCAACTCAGCAATCAAAACACGAGTAAAAGTACTCAACACCAGTCCATACTGGTGACTCCCCGGGTAGTTGGTGTTCTGTGCTCCCTGGGTTATAAATATATCTCTCTCTATCTGTACAACCTCAGCATTCCTGGTCAACTGGTTCAACTCAGCAATCAAAACACGAGTAAAAGTACTCAACACTAGTCCATACTGGTGACTCCCCGGGTAGTTGGTGTTCTGTGCTCCCTGGGTTATAAATATCTCTCTTTCTAGCTGTACAACCTCAGCATGGAACTTCCTGGTCAACTGGTTCAACTCAGCAATCAAAACACGAGTAAAAGTACTCAACATTATCCATACTGGTGACTCCCCGGGTAGTTGGTGTTCTGTGCTCCCTGGGTTATAAATATCTCTCTCTCTAGCTGTATAACCTCAGCATGGAACTTCCTGGTCAACTGGTTCAACTCAGCAATCAAAACACGAGTAAAAGTACTCAACACCAGTCCATACTGTAAGTACACCACATGCCAACGCGTGGTACAGGCCATGATGATCATGGTGGGTAGTTAGCGACTGTTTTCACTGTAAGTAAACAACATGTCTACATATGGTTAAAGCGCAGTTCGACTTTTACACTTACAAGTGTGACAGAGCCCCGTTTATTTACTTTCACTCACTGATAGATTTGAACTAGCCGAATGACCCGGGCAATGCCTGGGTTTTACCCGATTAAATGATTTTATTCAAATACTATTCGTTACAATTATAAATAGGCGCCGTGGATGTCATTCTTGTGAAACGTCCCGCTCCAAACTTTGTGTCTGAGAAGCGATATTTTTATAAAGAGATGATCTGGCTTTGTGTCTTCTGCTCGAATGAATGTTTTTCTGTTAGGATTTTGTTCCTGCATACTAAAAATGAACTGGCTTCACCCGTGGTCTCTGCTTTTTGGAATTTTTCCGGATAAAATTTTGTATCTGATAATCAAATATGATACAGCAATTTTGTCATAATCATTTTCTGACTGAAAAAAAAAACAACTATTTTTGCCCATAACCTGTCAATTTCAAATTTTCTTGGTTAAAAATGCGACAAATATCTCTTCCATATTTTTCTCTATGTCCTGTTAAAACACGTTTTACATGTACATTAGGTCAGCTGATATTACCTCCCATCTTCACCGCTAGAGGTGCTGCTTGCAAGCGAAAGAGCAAATTTGCAAATAACTAGAAGAATATTCGGAATAGAGACCTGAAATATTCAATATAAGTTTTTCCAGATTCTACTATACATACTGCTAAAATTTCAGTCATATTAGTTACGCATTTTACGTATATTGCGTAAAAGCATTTCATTCACAAAAGCAAACGATGACAGAATTGATGACTCTGATACTTGTATATTTTAACTAGAAGAATGACCCGGCTTCGCCCGAGAAATTCCCCGAGTGAAGTATTCTTCATACTGAAAGTACATCAATAATAAATAGTAGAAGTGCCATAGAATAGCAATACAGAAAAAACACATAAACTACAGGAAAAAAGTGTGTAATGGCAAAAATTGTATTATATTAGTGTTTAGATATTTGATTTAATTATTTTTTGCAATCCATTTAGTTGTTTCAAAATCAATATAGTTTAAATAGACGGCAGCTTTTCCACCAAACCCCCATTAACCTTTGAAATTGCCTGAGTTGAGTGACTGACTGTAAAGAATCATGACTGCGATGCCCATCTTCTCAGTAAGAATTAAAAAAAAAAAATAGGTGTATAAAAAAAAATTATCAAAAATACTAGCACGTAAATATTTTTCTGTAAAAAAATAAAAGAGCATATGGAAATATTAGGCAAACATATGTGTTCGCTAATGATTGCGACTGCATTTTAAACGATTTTTAAAAAGAGATTCAAACAAATAAAGGCCAGAACAAAAATTAATAAAAAATATGAAATCCATTATTTACATACATTCACAAAAGCAAACGATGACAGAATTGATGACTCTGATACTTGTATATTTTAAATATAATAATATAAATGAGTTTTAAAAATCGAAAAAAAATGCATCAGCGGGGAATCGAACCCGGGCCGCCCGCGTGGCAGACGAGCATTCTAACACTGAACCACCGATGCTTATAAGAAATGGCCATATTTGGTATTTATTCCATTCACAAAAGCAAACGATGACAGAATTGATTGTTGATTGATGACTCTGATACTTGTATATTTAAATAATAATAATAATATAAATGAGTTTTAAAAATTGTAAAAAAAAAAATGCATCGGCCGGGAATCGAACCTGGGCCGCCCACGTGGCAGGTGAGCATTCCCGCCACTGAGCCACCGATGCTTTTAAGAAATGGCCATATTTGGGTATTTATTCCATTCACAAAAGCAAACGGTGACAGAAATATTGATTGTTGATTGTTGATGACTCTGATACTTGTATATTTTAATTTTTCAAGAATCAAAAGCTTTCTGAGCAATTTTTTTTATTTAAAAAAAAGCGAACCCAGGTCGTATCTATTGAAGGTTGGCGGTTTTACCACTACACCACCAGGCCATTCCATATATATAGAAGTAAGTAATATATCAATAGAACATCTAGTTGATCTTACACAAGCATCATCAGCTATTAATGGAAATCTAAATAAAGCAACGATACCCTACCAAATTATTCAGGTTTCTGTAATGATAATCATGTCTACTATTGGTATAGGTTTTCTAACCAATCACATTTGTCTCTTCTACTATTGCATATTACTATTATAATGTAGTAACTTTATGTTTATCATTAAAATATTGTGATAATATGAAAGAACAAAAAGAACTTTTTATGTAGAACATGTTCATTCCTCTAGCTTTTGAATGACATCATTCTTCAACGGGCGTAGTTTTAGTTACAAATTTTCATGTCACTTTTTTCTCATTGTATATACATATATATATGTATATATAAATATATACCGTTAAACTTGTCTATAGCTCCCCCTCTAAATAGCGCCTCCCTCTCTGATGCGCCCGATTTTAAATATATAGTAGGATGCGATTTACATTAAAAGTGACCTGTCTATAGCACCCCTTCCCTATAGCACTCTATTTTGGTGAGTCCCAAGAGGGGGCGCTATAGACAGGTTTAACTGTAGTACGATGTGATTTACATTAAAAGTGACCTGTCTATAGCACCCCTTCCCTATAGCACTCTATTTTGGTGAGTCCCAAGAGGGGGCGCTATAGACATTTTTAACTGTAATACGATGTGATTTACATTAAAAGTGACTTGTCTATAGCACCCCCGCTCTATAGCACCCTATTTTGGTGAGTCCCAAGAGGGGGCGCTATAGACAGGTTTAACTGTAGTACGATGTGATTTACATTAAAAGTAACCTGTCTATAGCACTTCCTCTTTATAGCACTCTATTTTGGTGAGTCCCAAGATGGGGCGCTATAGACATGTTTAACTGTATATGAATCTTTAATAAAAAGACATATATTGGATCAAAATATCATTTATTTTACCAATATTTTAGTTGGCTGAACGCTAACCTTTATCAAGGTATTATAACATATTAATGTGTGTCAACAACAAACTCAGCGCCACATAACGTCAACAGAATTAAATAACGTCAACAGAATTAATTCTATTGACGTTATGTGGCGCTGAGTTTGTTGTTGACACACATTAATATGTTATAACACCTTCATAAAGGTTGGCGTTCAGCCAACTGAAATATTGGTAAAATAAATTATATTTTGATCTAATATATGCCTTTTTTAAATTAAAAATTATATCATTATAGTTTTCACTATTTTTTAAATGGAAAATATAAAAGATTTTAGATTTCTAAATTATTGTACGGATATTTCAATAAATAACGGTTTCTCACCTAACCTATTTCCATATTACTATACAACAACAAAAGGTTTTTATTAGGGCCCATTGTCCTTTATGGATTCGCCATACAACAAAAAAATAATATAGTATTTTTTTTCTCTCTTTTCCCATGAGCACGTGAGCCTTTGTTTGAAAAAGGGATTTATTTACACCTCTGTTCTAAAACTTTCCTCACTACCTCTTTTGTGTATGAATCTATTTACAATTGATCTGTAGAAATTATAGAGTTCTATTGCTATATTTTTCTTTTCTGAAATAGGCGTCTTCAGTGGGTTGCTAAATCTCCAGAAGGTGTTTTTAGAGCATATTACTAAACAATATTTTCTATAAATAGATGATAATTGTATGGATAACCAGATGAAACATGAATTTTGAATCCCATTACATTTCAGAATTATATATTCTAATGTGAAGAAATAATTATAAAAAAAAAAAGATCAAGTTTGTGTGTGTTGGTATTAAAATTAAAAATGGCATATCTTGATCACAAGCACATATGCTTTTTAGATGGCAGAGCGCTGAAACGCGTTCATGGTTTGCTTTTGTTGATTTATCTAGATATTGGGTTGGCCTAATATCAGGCAACAGGTTAAATCAATGCTTAGTTGATTTCTGCTCCACTAGATGGCGCTCTGCCATCTAAAAAGTTCATGTTCTCGTGGTATCAAGTCTCTAGAGCTTGTTGATGGTGTCTGTGCTGGGGATGAGTCTCTTCTTTCTTATCTCCACTCAACAATCATATCAGGGTATCAAGTCTCTAGAGCTTGTTGATGGTGTCTGTGCTGGGGATGGGTCTCTTCTTCTTTCTTATCTCCACTCAACAATAATATCAGGGTATCAAGTCTGTAGAGCTTGTTGATGGTGTCTGTGCTAGGGATGAGTCTCTTCTTCTTCCTTATCTCCACTCAACAATCATATCAGGGTATCAAGTCTGTAGAGCTTGTTGATGGTATCTGTGCTGGGGATGAGACTCTTCTTCTTTCTTATCTCCACTCAACAATCATATCAGGGTATCAAGTCTGTAGAGCTTGTTGATGGTGTCTGTGCTGGGGATGAGTCTCTTCTTATTTCTTATCTCTACTCAAAATATCAGGGTATCAAGTCTGTAGAACTTGTTGATGGTGTCTGTGCTGGGGATGAGTCTCTTCTTCTTTCTTATCTCCACTCAACAATCATATCAGGGTATCAAGTCTGTAGAGCTTGTTGATGGTGTCTGTGCTGGGGATGAGTCTCCTCTTCTTTCTTATCTCCACTCAACAATCATATCAGGGTATCAAGTCTGTAGAGCTTGTTGGTGGTGTCTGTGCTAGGGATGAGTCTCTTCTTCTTTCTTATCTCCACTCAACAATCATATCAGGGTATCAAGTCTGCAGAGGTTGTTGATGGTGTCTGTGCTGGGGATGAGTCTCTTCTTCTTTCTTATCTCAACTCAACAATCATATCAGGGTAACAAGTCTGTAGAACTTGTTGATGGTGTCTGTGCTGGGGATGAGTCTCTTCTTCTTTCTTATCTCCACTCAACAATCATATCAGGGTATCAAGTCTGTAGAGCTTGTTGATGGTGTCTGTGCTGGGGATGAGTAGAGTACATCAATAGATGAGTCAATGATGTGTTCTTCTTTCTTAGATCTGATTAGTTACCGACTGCTTCTACACCACATGTCTACACACGAAGAAAGCAGTTAGACTTTCGCACTTACAAGTGTTCCAGAGCCCCGTTTAATTACTTGAACTCACTTCTGGGGTTATAAATCTTCATGAATCAGGTTAGCCTTTTGAAATACCGTTTCTTCAGAGAAAATAATGGCCCAATACGGTATCGATCCAAGGTTTTGACTGTCGAAAAACGACTGTTTTTACCATTTCTTCACCAATTACTAGATAAGTTTCTCAACACAAAGTAACCAGCTATAATTCTAAAAACCATTCTTGAAAGATGTCAAAAAAGGTAAATTTTCTTTATTTGATTATATTTTATCGATTAGAAAGTATTCTGTAATAATATATATTTGACTAGATCGTGGTAGTGTTTAATTTGATCAAAAATAATACTTCAAGTTGTAATAAGGGTTTAAGCTCTAGTCAACAACCCTAGCAACAGCTTAACACCAATAAGATCAAGTGTTGAAAACATCCAATCTATTTATTTTGAAATATTAAAATATACAAGTATCAGGGTTATATCAACAATTCTGTCACCGTTTTCTTTTGGTTCAGTGGTAGCATGCTCCCTGCCACGCGGGCGACCCGGGTTCGATTCCCGGCCGATGCATTTTTTTTTACAATTTTTAAAATTCATTTATATTATTAAAATATATGTGCTTTTCCTGTCTATGTACAGTTTATGGTCTATGTACACAAGTATGTATACAAGTTATTTGCAAATTGCGTTGCAAATTTGCCCTTTCCCTCGCAAGCAGCGCCTCTAGCGGTAAAGATGGGAGGTAATTTCAGCTGACCTAATGGACATGTAAAACGTGTTTTAACAGGACATAGAGAAAAATCTGGAAAAGATATTTTTCGGATTTTTAGTCAAGAAAAATAAATTGACAGGTTCTGGGAAAAAGTAGTTGTTTTTTATTCAGAAAATGAAGATGACAATATTGCTGTATCATATTTGATTATCAGATACAAAATTATATCCGTAAAAAATCCAAAAAGCAGAGACCACGGGCGAAACCAGTTGATTTTTAGTATGCAGGAACAAAATTCTAACAGAAAAACATTCATTCGAGCAGAAGACACAAAGCCAGATCATCTCTTTATAAAGATTTCGCTTCTCAGACAAAAAGTTTGGAGAGGGACGTTTCACAAGAGTGACATCCACGGCGCCAATTTAAAATTGTAACGAATAGTATTTGAATTAAAACATTTAATCGGGTAAAACCCGGGCGTTGCCCGGGTTATTCGACTAGTAAACTATAAATAGGAGAAAAACCTCTACATTATCATCATTTAATCATCATTTGCTAATCATCAGTAATATTCAGATCAACACCAAATAGGAATGATACTCATGGACAAAACTTACGGAAGTTAAAAATCTTGAAGGAGACGGAGAGAGGCAATTTTGTTCACATTTGGTTATTTCGTGTGATTTCAATAAAGGTCACTCTAATATCTTTCAGAGTTATTGTTTTAATACCGATATACATGCTAAAAGGTACAACTTCCTTAAGTTTTGTCCAAGAGTGTATACACACTTGGTTATCTTGTGTGTCTTCAATAAAGGTCACTGTTATATCTTTCAGAGTTATTGTCTCAATCCCGATATACATTCTAAAAGGTACAACTTCCTAAAGTATTGTCCATGAATGTATACACACTTGGTTATCTCGTGTGTCTTCAATAAAGGTCACTGATATCTCTTTCAGAGTTATTGTCTCAATCCCGATATACATGCTAAAAGGTACAACTTCTTTAAGTATTGTCCATGAGTGTATACACACTTGGTT